AAAAATATAAAGAGAAATATTAAAAGGTCAAGTGTAGTAAAAACTTAACCAAGTATGGTAAAAACTCTGTGTAAACGCGCACAAATAAGCAGTATTAAGTTAAGCAATAATATATAATGATATAAATATTAGGGTGGTCCAAAAAACAACATTTTTGAAAAAAATCTGCTCCACAACCCTAAATGTGTTCTATATAATACAAAAACACTAGGTTTACAATTTTTTTGAATTAAAAATATTTTTAGGGGTTTTAAACATTTGACGTGTCCCTAATATTTTGAGAGAAAAAAGTTCTCATAAATTATGTCAACCTGGTACTCAAAAGAAGCGAAATTATATTAAAATTTCAAAAATATTAATGATTTTTGTATAAAAATTATTTTCACATACATCATTGCATAAAAACTGTTGTTTTTATGCAATGATGTATGAGAAAAAATAAAAGCTGAAAATAAAAAAAGTCATGATTTCCAAGTTTTTTGTAAATAGTTTTAAACATCTATTTTATGTAAATTTATTAATATTTTTGAATTTTTAATATAACTTACAATTATAATTAGCTTTTACTATCTTATTAGTTTTTTCATATAAAGGTTTTGAGGTTATTAAATGATTTCTAACTGCAGTAGTAAAGTTATTATTTAAGGCCTACCATCTTCTTTATTCTAAGTAACTTTAAGGATACCACAAGGTTCTACCTTTGCTCCTGTTTTGTTTCTTATCAACAATAACGGTCTTCATGAAATCTAAAGTTGCTTTATTTCCTGACGACTCAACTTAATACTCTTCTCTTGAAAAAAAGTCTTTACTATTTTTTGTAACAGCCTAAGGCTTGCTGTGGGTTGTGGATTTTAAGTCTGGATTTAAAATCCACAACTTTTGTTAGACAACAAAACTCATTTATTCACTGCAAAAAATATTGCAATATTGTTGTAAGGTTGCATTTCTTTCTTTTTTCTAGAAATACAATCATGGTCAATGCTCAAACAAGCTATCATCATTATTAGGATAAACCAAAACTCACTCTTGCTTGTTTCTTATTCAACAAGTTGCATCCTTTTACTGTATCTGTCCTTTCATGCTGTAAAAACATTTATTAATCCAGTTTTTTTCCTTGCACATAAAAAAAATCTTATAAGTATTAGTTATCTTTATGTTTTTCTTTTATATACAACCTACAACTTTTCAAGTCTTCAGTTAACTATTTCCTAGTATTTTTACTTATTCTCTATTTTAAAGTAACTCATAACTTAATAGTTGTTGCTTACAATCTTGTTGGAAGTAAATTAGTGTGTGAAAATATACAAATTTATGCCAGTATTTAATAAATAGTAAATGTCAGCATAAAATCATAATATATAAAGTATTATAAATTTTTTTCTAACCCCGGCTATCAACCCCTGCTAAATCTTATAGTTTATCCGGGGCTGGGTTTGAAAAAAGTCTTATTTTTAACCGGAGCCGGGGCCCCAGTCACTTACTATATGAGTCGCTAACTTGAAAAAGGGGACAAAAATTCACATAACATTTCATCTTTTTCAAGTTAAAGATTCATATGATATATATGTATATATATATTGATTAGTCAACAAAGCAAATTAAGGTAACATGTTGTAAATTAATAAAACTATTTTAAACCCTTTTTTATAATGTAAATAGTTTGATGAGATTTTAGTATATGTATTTTCATTCCATGTTATACATAAAACAATATACAAATTTATGCCAGTATTTAATAAATAGTACATGTTAGCATAAAATCATAATATATAAAGTATTATAAATTTTTTTCTAACCCGCCACGTTGTGTGTGTGTATATATATATCAGAGACTATTCTAGGAAAAAAACTTGAGCGGTGCACATTGACTCAAAATGAAGAAAAAATGGTAAAAGTTATATAACAATTACATTTGAATATGTATTAAATGAATAGTTGTTATTTTTTTTCAAAAAATCAATTATGTGATTTAAAGTTATTTTTACACACAACAACCAGCATAATGTGCTTGTATCTAAAAAACAGGCGCATATGAAATTTTACACTCGAAAGCAGATTTTTTTTTTTTTAATTTTCTTCTCAAATTAAGTAATAGTTCGCATAATACATAATTTATTTTTAAATTTCTCTCCCACTTGTAATCAGGCGTGATCACTTGGTACACTACCACCTAAATTTAAGTCATAATTATTACCAGTTCCCTCCCCTTTTGCTAAAAACAACCATTAAAAGAATTATCTTCAATAAAAAAAAAATTCATTCATCAACAAAGAGTATTTAATAGTTATACTTTGAGCATTAATATTATAACTATTTTAAATCTTAATTTGAAAAAAAAAAATATTAGATGGCAAATTATCTATAAATAAAAAATTTCACAAAAAAATCATGACTGTTTAAGAAGAGAAAGAACTACTATTGGGAACAATTTCTCATTTTCACATCTATGGTTAGTGAATTGAATGCTCAATATAAATGGATGGCTCCTTATCATAACTTGATTAAATTGGTTTTTCATAAAATTTATCCTTAAAATTTTGCATGAATGATTTAATCTTGCACTTCTAGTCTCTTTGTTAAGAGCCTCTAGTGGTTCTTCTAAATAAACTCCAACGGGAATGCATTGCATAATGCATTGCTTTGCATAATGCAATGCATAATGTATTGGCAATCCGCAAACCATGTTCTAAAAGTTGGTGAGCACACGGAGGAATAACATACCAATTATATTTAGAAAGAATTTTCAATTTATATCCAAGGTGAAGAATGTACTTAAAGCATCTTATCCAACAGTGAAGAGGTGAAAGACCAAAAAATAAAGCATCTTTATTGACAGGTTTTGATCTAATCAATTTAATGTCATTCATCTCTGTTGGTTTTGCAGCCATAAGCAAAATATCAAAACCAGCCAGTGAAAAAGCATGAATTT